TATGGGTAGGCGGGGAGGTGTGCGGGGGGCTTGCAGGTGTTGTGGTGGTTGTCGGTTTTGTGCTGTTTGTTGGTGTGTGACTGTGTGTGCGTATTTTGAGTTGGTGTCGGTGGTCGTTTTGGTGGGATTGGTTTTTTGTGGGTTAGTTGATGGGGGGAGGTTGTGGAGGGTGGTGTTTAGAGGGAGGGGGTTGTAAGGAGGTGAGAAGTGGGGTGGGGGTTGGTTGTGGGGGTGGGGTTGTGGATGTTAGTGTGGATGGTTGGGGTGTAGTAAATTGATAGATGATGGGGGGGTGGTGGGGGGGGTGGGCAATGGAGGTTTATGTTGGTGGTTAGTGAGGGGTGGTGTCGAGTGATGTGACCTCCATGTATAACTTGATTAAGTTTTATTATCGAATCGAGGTGTGTCCTTGACGTCTGGGTGACGCTTAGGCCAAGGTGGTCTGATAAAATATACAGACAAATATTAAGTACCTTAAATATTTCTCATATAAAAATATATTTCCCATAGACCATTAAATATTATTTAAATATCACTTATTTAAATCTGATAAAATTATATGAATATTCGGAAATTCAATGATAGACCGTTTATATAATGAAAAAAAAAATGGTCGAGGTGACAGTCACAAAAAAATATAAACGAAGTCTGAGTTTTGCGTCAACTATACAGGTCTTCCTCAGGGCTAAATTGAACTAGGTACAAACTGTACAATAAAGTAAGAGTTAAAATATAAGATTTGTAAGATATAAGTACGTTAATAGTTCTTCAATGTTTTTACATCATTAATCTTAGCTAGTAATTCTTATTAGAAGTAGAATAGGTGGTAGGGCGCTGACGTCCAATGATCAAGAACCCAGATTCGAATCCAGCTGATTGAGGATAAAATATTTATTCCATATCGTCGACAAGGATCGACACTGGGGTCGAAGACACTTCTGTAGCAAACGTAGCTTCTATAAAATGGATACTCTAAATTAAATAATTACTTAGGCGGGAAAACCTAGTAGTTAAGCGTGGTCTTGGTCAAATCACATCCTTGCACTACCGTTGAACAAGAAACAATACTTCCTTACAAAATAGTAAACCAAAAAATCCTTCATATTTTTTATAACTATTACGGTATTAAGCAGCTTGTATCTTGCTCATTTTAGCACAGATGAAGACATACATAATTGCGTCGAAACATAGATTTAATAAACATCTCTATGAAAAATTTACTTAATTATTACAATTAATTATAAAAGTAATACACATTATTTTAAGGCCTGAATTAAAAATCAATAATTGTCTATATTTGGCTTCCTCCATTATGAAAATCGAGAAGCCTTGTATTAAAGCAGGAAAATAGAAAACTGAAATTTTTCACTCGTGTTTTATGGTTTGGAGAGCTAGGAACAAATTTAGTTGTGCTTCTGTTGGTAGTTAAATCAATGGGACCAAAACACATCATACATTTTTTAGGATTTTTTTTTTCTAGAAACATGACGAAATAATTATTTAAAACAATATTTTCTTTATTCCTTGCATAGTTCTTGTATGCAATAGTTTTACTTATGTATTTAATATAAATGGTATACTTTTGATTATTATTTTGTTCTATTTATTTTATTTTTTTGTACATATGGTGTGAATGTCATCCTACCTCACTATAACCAATGTCCAACAGACAGATTGTTATAATACTCAATAAAGAAATTTAAAAAAAAAAATATATAAATGGTGAGAAAGCTTTAAATGACAGACGTTTTTCACTATGTTATTGACCATTAAATGTTATTATTTTATTAAAATCCATCATTTCCCTAGAAATAAAATTTAAAAAAAAATGGCGTTTAATCGTATCATTTGTTTCCTCATTTCATTAAATAAGTCGGATATACAAATTGTTTCGTTATTTTAATTTATAATTTATTATTAATAGTTTTTATTTTATTTCTATGCAATCATATGATTTTAAATCATTTCAATAACATAATATGATAGTAAAACTAAATATTTGAGCTCAACGAAAAATACTAGGTGATAACTTATTAATAGATTTCCATCAATGATTTCAAATAGAGACTGTTCATGAATGAATATCATGTTTCCTTAACAGCGATTCGTAACCGATACCAATCTTAGACAGCGAATCGATAGTGAAATAAAACGGTTATAACCATTATCGTAGATCTACGAAATAGTTCGTTGGGGAAACCCATTTCCGAAACTGTTACGAAATTTTCATCATTGACAGTCGTAATCGCCATCCACTTTCCGGTCAACTTACAAAACTAGGGCAGGATATGTTTAACTAAAGTAATTACTCGATCTATCTTTTTATTATAACGATATCACGAATGAACGGTTAACAAAACGGCAGCTATGCTAGAGTAAAATAATATTTTGGGATTAGAAACATCGATGGAAGTGGAATGGGTTATTTATTATATTTCTTAATCGTATTTTTTCATACATTTTGTTTGATTCGAGTATTTTTTATTTATATATTCTATTTTGTAAAATATTCATATTCAAAGATATGAAGAATATTCATACAAGCAAATACTAACAAAAAAATATATATAGACAACAAGACTACAACAGTTCTTGAAATGCTTAGAATAGGCACTTATTAACAGGTTTTAAAAACTTATTATACATCGTTAACCTCAGTGTGATATAAAGAAAATGGTTGATATTAATTTTTAAAAATAAGTAAATAGTTGGTTTTAAAAGTTAATATTCGGATCATACATTACATAACTTATAAATAAAAAAAAATAACGTAAATTGCATTATTAAATTAATCGTGTTATATAAATTATATGGTTCCTGAATTGACTCACATTAACGAAACTTGTAAACAAAACTGAAACGTTAGATTTTTTTTAATTAACCATTTATTTGGCGTGACTACGTAAAAACAAGCAATCCTCACTTAACAAAATTTTTTTTTCATGTTAAATATTATTTCAAGTTTACCATTCATGCTAATGTTCGTAAGCGAAGAATTTAATCCAGTTCCAACAGACAAGGATTTATGCTTAATTTAGGAACGACTAGCTGGATTATTGTGGAAAGTTACAAAACTCCTAGAAGGTTACAAGCACATGAAAAAAAAAATATGAGGAAATATTTCTCTAATGAATTGTTAAATTTCAAAATGAAAATAAATATAGATAGGATGTGAACTGAATATATAAATATGTAAAATAACTATATTTATAATATATATGAGAAATAACAACACTGAGATTAAATACGGCGTATCCATCGACCCCAAAAGCCGATGGAACTGCTGAGCTGCCGGTGATTTATTCGATGAATAAAGGAACGCGCTGAATTCCATTTATGGACCCTTCAAAGAATTTCGGAACTGTCTGATAGATCTCCGATGTCCATCAACGAGCTCATCGCTGAGCTTAGGAACTTACTCGAATCCTCATTTATGATGATAGTGGCAAGAAACTTCTCTTCCTTACAACATTTAGGTGTTCTTGAAAAACTCTACTAAATTTCAATTCATTATATAGACACATATATCGTTAATAGCTAGTGTTGCCCAAATGCAAGACCGAGACGAGTCTTGGTCTTGCAAATTCAGTCTTGCTCATGGTCTTTGTCTTGCGCAGGAGTCTCGTAACAGACTTACAGTTACCTATTAGCTTAGTAATATAGAGATATTACTGTATTTTTTTAGATAGGGGAAACCTAACTAAGACCGAATGAAAAATTAGAAGAGTTAAATGCAAGAGTATATTGGTTATACTAATTATTAACCTAACCTAACTAAGATTGTCAAATATTAGTAACTATTTCGCCTTAATTTTTATTTTTTTTTACCTTTCCTGGTCTTGTTCTGCAACAGTTGGGTGGCCTTGGTCTTGGTCTTGCAAAGTGCAAGACCAAGTACAGCCCCCTTTTATCATATTATTAACATCTTTCTGAAACTTCGTGAATAGCTTCATCCTATCGTAATCAGCAACTTTTTTATTTACTAAAATTCTTGGAACCAGGGCGTTTTCAATGTTAAGATCTACAAACTTTGACTATTTAATTAGGTACTAAAAATTCATAAACACCCATTAGCTTTCTACTTGAATCGTAAGATAATTATATAAAACATCAAGAAAAAGTGTTGCCTACAAAAATATTCAGCTGTATGGCGTGACCTTCGCCTCCAAAATGTCAGAATAATGAGGTTAGATAGGACGAACGTCCCAATATTTTTGTAGGTCACATTTATTTTCTTTCGTGATCAAATAATCTTACGGCTCAAGTGGAAAGCAAATGGGTATTTATTAATTAGGGTAAATTAATTAATTTAATGAGAAAACGACCCATTTCTGAGTTTTTTCGTGAATAAAAAATGTGTAGGTTACGATGTGATGAAGAAATGCAGGAAGTTATTGGTGGATGTTAATAATTTGATAAAAAGGAGCGAAAACTACGGACTACAAGTGGATATTGTGGACTTCAGGAAATTCCTTTTTAACAGCCCCGAAGTAGCTAACCGAGTTTGTTTTACGCCTTAAAGGCGCATATTCCTTGCAGCTGACAGGATGGCAACGTTTACGTGAGATTTTCAGATGAGATACAAACTCCATTCTGTATGTTCACAGGCCGTAAAGGATCATTACGCGATAGCCGAGGATTCGGTTCTTATTGTCGAAATAATCTTCCTTAAAAACGGCCAAACCGATAATAAGAAAAGAAATGCTAGATCATGTTATGTCACGAAATGTAATTCGAATCGATTTTGTAATTTATTCGATTTCCATTCCGTTCGATTCCATAGAATTATGAACATTCTGAAAGGCTTGAGTAATCTGGTCATTTGCAAAACGGATGATGGTAGTTATTTTATAAGACAAAATATTTTACCCATGCTTACAAAAGTATATTAAGACACATTTCAAAACAAACTTTCAATAAATTATTACTATAAAATATATTATTTATTATGTTAAAAAATATAAATAAAATATGAGTAGATATTGAAATATTGTGCTTGGTGTTGCAGCAAGGGACGGGGTAAGAGACAGGAGAAGCCAATGAACTCTTGCACCGGCCAAGATGACTGAGCCCACAGCTGCCAACGAACATGAGCAACACACCACCACAATAGGTGAGCATATTGCAAGTTTATTATGTTAATTTCATCATTAATTAAAAGAATAATTTAATTGTAAAAAAAAAATCATTAATTTTTTTTCAATCCAGCATGCAAATCATTGATATATTTTATACATAAAAAAAAATCTTGTGACTTATTTGAAGAAAACTTTAAGTCATATACTGTTACAATGTCCTTACTCGACAGTCAATCAAAATGGCGCCATGTGAAAGAGAGAACCCGAATGCGTAAATCGGAGGCTGATTTCTTGCACACTACCCAGATGCTAAAAAATAGACATTCTTTTCGCATAATAGTGCATTGTTGCAAATATCAAAGAATCAGCTATTCCAACAAATATAATTATAACAAATTATTTTGTAGTGTATTCTACCGTAAATTGAACCGAGATCACGTTCAACCCCCACGTTTCCCTCCTTAATTAATTAATGTATATCCACTTTATATCAAGCTGATCCACTTAATGTGCCCTAGGAGGATATCGCGATCCCGTCCATCGCTTCACAGCTGATACATTTTTTTTGTACTTTTAAAAACAGGAAATTAATAATAATAAAAAAAAGCCAGAAAACTAGATGTAAGATTAAGAATCAAAATAGAACAATAAAATAGTATTAAAAATCATACTTGTTCTATGAGACTAATATGGGGATGGTTCTTTCCACATTAAACACACACTATATGTACGAACAGTAAATACAAATGAGAGAGGCCAGTTTTTGATATAATATTTTAAAATCATTTTATTGTTAACTAAAATATAAATTAAACAACTTCAGTTCTGTGCCTCGAAGGTAAATGACACCACCATGTCCGTTTTTTTAATTAAATAGTTTAGTAACTGAGAAAAGAAATTTTAATTCCTGAAATTATGGAAAATTGGCATCCCGAACAAATACAGAAATGTGCCATGGTTTTCTATTCCTCCGGGGTACAGATTTATTTACTAAAAAAACTAATTTTAAAAAGCTCAAAGTTATATAATATTTACTGCTCTGAACAAATACAAAAATGGATATGGTGTTATTTACCATCGAAGTACATATTTGTATCCGATGTATTATAAAAAAAAAAAAAAGCCTATGTATCCTTTTTTCTACCCAATTCTATAATACTTTTATTGAATTCTAGTCCAATAAAATTCATGCAAATGAAAATAAAAATATCTACACCATATATAATACGGTATAATTATTCCGAGAGCCCGTGAGAAAAAAATCGACGTTATTTGATGAAAACTTTAAAAGCATTTTTTTTTTAATATTTATAGCATTTACATTTAAAAAAATGAGTCTGCCACTAGGATCTTGCTACCTTTAAAAATGTCGGCTTATTTAAAGAATATTAGACCAGTGACTTAAGGATCGAAAAGGAAAATTCATTGCGAAAAATATAGTTAAAGTTTTTATTTTTTAACTTGTACATATGGGTTATGACGTGTAAAAAAACAAATTACCTACGCGGGCCACCAAGGGAAAACTTTTTACAGCCAAAATGATAAATTATTTAAATCAGCCGCCATTTTTACAAGTAGCAAGTTCCGACTGGTAGACTCTCATTGTTTTAATATAAATGTTATAAATATTTTTAAAAAATCTTTCAAAGTTTTCATGAAATAATGTCGATTTTTTTCTCACGGGATCTCGAACTAGATAAATTCACTCCCAGATCCCAGGAGCGATGGGTTTTGATGAATGAGCTATCAAGGAAAGGGAATTACATGGATACGGGACGATCTCCAATTCCTACAACTTTAATGGAAGTCTTTGAAAAAAATTTTCGAAACACGGTTTCAAAAGTCGACTAATCGAGTTGGGGTGTATTGTGGTTTAAAGAATTTGACGTCCATACCAAATACAAGAAACGATATCAGATCCTTTGTTTTAAAGCCCAAAAATGTCGCCTAATTTAAATAAATTGTAATTCTTGCCAAATACCTCTTACCTGCTATGGTTGCCATAGGATACCTATTATGTTTTTTTTTAGTTTTAAAAAATCAAATATTGCTATGGGGCTTCTGATATCTGATGCGACATCAGTTGTTAATATCAGCTATGTTGAAATATTATTTGAATTCATGATAAAGTATGTATTTGTAAGAATCAAAACTAGAAATATATTGAAGGGAAAGCATCACCTTTAATAACCGTTTCAGAAAGTCGGTATGAACACAGAAAGATTTCTACCGCAAAGCACACCTGTCCAAGGTATCAATAACATAAAAAAAAAAAAGCGTGAATCTGGAGAGAGTAGAAATGAAACATAAAAATAACTCCTCAGCTTCCCAGTAAGTAATCTTCTTACCTAAACAAACAAAAAAATGTTCACATTAATTACCAAAGATAATTTATATTAGCACATTAAAAATAAATGCATTAAAAAAATTACGTTTTTTTTTTATAAATAAATATAATAAACCATAGATATGTAGACTGTAAAAATGAATTGGGAAGTAATTTCAAAATAACCGGTTATAATTCCGAAATCAGTAACTAATTAGACCAAATTAACTTATCAATCAGCTATTTTTAACATGTAAACGACATTCATGTCCTTGATTGGGAGCTAATATGTTATTAAGGCAACAGAAAATAACGGATTACTTACAAGAACTAATTTTTATTTTTATTTTTTTTGTTGAAACTTGGAACACATAAAAACAACCGATTACCTAACAAATTTTTTTTTTTTTTTAACACATTTTTTTCCAGGTCATTTTCAAACATAATGATTTATTAAATATAAAAATTTCTAATTAAAACGTAATATTTGAACAAAGTGGTGATTGGGTACAACCAACTATTTAAAAAAAAAATTATTTTGGAACCAGAAGTTTATTATCTTACAGAACTTATTTATCTTGATCAGTGGGGTAGCCAGACAAAAAATGTGCATAATGTTTTTATAATAAACCTATCATTGAATTAAAGGGAAAATAGCAAAATAAAACTTAAACTACAAGTCATTTTGAGAGAGGGGTTCAAAAAATGTGGGGCCCAGGGTGGATCACCTGTTCCCTAATTATGCCCCTGATCCTGACAACTGTAAAAAGTGCAACAGGTTATCTTACCTTCCTTAGAGTACTGATTGCTAAATGATAGATAAAACGTTGATTTTAGAAACTTTTCTTCTAAAAATTAAATATTTATACCCAATGAAATTAATGAAAGATATCTATACCCAACAGAAATTTTATTATAGCTGCTTTGATAGATATTGAAATAAGTAATACAGGATACATTAAATAATTTAAAAAATAAACAATAATTTTCAAATAACTTTATTTGAATATTTGATTTAATATTAAAAATAACAATGAAGGAAGGAGATGGTCCAGGGTGATCAGGGGTTAAAAAAGGGCAGGGGTTAAGAGGTCTTGTCATAGAATAAATTTGATTTCCTATCTACCTTTATATCTATAATTTAAATATTTGAGTATGGTAGAAATTCAGCAGTCAGTTTTTAAGATTTTTGTTTGCCGTTGTTTCAAACAAAGCTTGTGGGTCATGATCAGGGAATGTTACTAGCAGTGAAGGTGTTGAAGTAGACTAATACCTTCAGTTCTAACTATCTATCACCCTTGATATTTATAACAGTCGACTAACTTCCTTCAATAATTATTTTAGGAAAAATTAATTATTGTTTTTATTTTTTTCAGAAATCACTGGAAATGGGCAAATCAATGCAGCGTTCGAGAATACAGAGGGTCCAGATGGGGATCCATCGCCTCAGACTCCTCCTCCACCACCGAATCATATTCAAAGACCTATGACTCCCCCTCCGCAAGTACCGAGGCCTAATACTCCACCACCACAGATTCCAACAACACCCCAGCATGAGACACCCCATATGAATGGTGAAACGCCACATATGAACGGTGATACAAAAACTAATGGCGTTGAAGTAAAAACTCCCGGATCTGAAGATAATAAAGAAGTCAATGAAGCAGTCAATTTAGAGCTAGTTAACATGCAACCTTATAGTAATAGTATACCAATTAAAAAAGAATCAACTGAATTAGATATTGGAGATCCATACGATGAGTATTTTGTTCCTGTGAACCAGCATAAAAAGTATATGAGGTAAATATTTCTTCTTCAAAAAATACAAATAAAATATGATATAGGTTTTCATTGCGATTTCAGATATTATATTATTTGTAAAATAAATAATTTTAGAAATAGTTTTACTACACTAAAATATACAAATATGTGAGCCTACGTTTTTCATATTTTTAAACTTTAATAATAGGTTTCAAAACCTAGTAATCAAGAAAATATTTTACATCATCAAATGAAAATATTATATTTCTTTTGTTCTGAACAGGGGTGAAAAGCTATACGTCACACAAGATAAAAGGAGAAGTCTCGGAGGCAGCAAAAAAAAGTGTTGTTGGGGAATCCTTACAGTTATTGTTCTAGGTGGAATCGTGGCCATATTGATAGGTAAAGTATTTTCATATTTTAATTGATATTAAATTAATAAAAAAGTTTTAAACCAGCATGAAACTTTAACAAATAATCTTTATATTTACAACTGAATTCTTCAAATTGATATGTTACTTTATCTGGAATTTATCTTCAACGGAAGGATGACATAAAGCCCACCTGTAAAGTAAATGGAATAGAAGACATTTAACAAATGACTCATTTGTTTCTTTTGTTATTTAACAAATAACTGCTTTACCCATCTTTTGCCAAATCCTCATGGCTAATAATGAGACAGAGACTGAATACAAAAACACACTTACTTTAACTCATACTGATATATTCATCACAGATATCGTGAAAAAGAGCCACTTACAAAAACTTCAAACCTTTCAATCAAAATTATAATGATTCATATCAAAAGCACCTTAGTATGTGATTAAAACAAAATTCTACCTACCAACAGTTGTATAACAACCTTTTACCAACAGTTTTGTACAAATTTAAATGTATATAACAATAGTTTAATAAGAGACATGGCTACATCTGAAATATCCCTTAATACAAGGAGAAGAATAAAAAGGCACTGGATGAGACATTTCTTTCCTTAAACAACCAAAGTGATTTAATCAATACAGGGAAGTGCATGCTATTAGGGAATGGTATTAAAATCAGGCATAGGGATGCCTGATATGCCATTATTTCCTATATTCTGAGTTCATTTGCTGACTGTCAACTTACTAAAGTTCACATTTGCAAAGTTAAAAAAAAAAAAATAATAGAGTTAAATAAAGTTGTGTTATTACTTTTTTTTTTTTATGGAGTAGCAAAGTTGGCTTTCAAAAAATTAATTTTTTTATTTATATACTTTTTTAAAAATCCAGGAAATGTTCTCCTATTCTCAGCTAAAATTTTAAAATTCAGAACTCATTGGCATCCTTCTGAATTATTCGTAAAGATACCCTTAAATAAAGGTTGTCAGCACTTCCAGTCACACCAAATCCTGAGCAGGTTGACTTTGAGTGTTAGATAAATCTTTGGAGACTATAAGACATAAACTGCAATTTTGACTGGAAAATTTTTTAATTAAATGTTTTAATGAAAATAAATAATATTGGTACTTGTTGATTATAAAATTATAATTACATTGATTTATATTGGAGAATTAATTTAATTTAAGGCAGCAACAAATTAAAGTATCAATTTAAAAAAAAAGGAATAATTTTGGACCTTAAATGTGAAACAACAGTGCATTTATTTTTAATGTTAATGGAACATATATTTTAGGCCTAAAAATAGCAGAATAAGTCAGAAAATATTAGACATTGTACATAAATATAAATGTTATACTTTTTGGAAATCTCTTGTGCCTCCTCTTCTAAAAATAGAATCAAATAGAATTTGTTTACTTGCACTTACCTATATATGAAATATATAGTAAGGGTCAATATTGCAATCGTGAAATTTTTTTAATCTGAGTTATCAACAGAAATAAATGTTTTGAGGTCTCCTGAGTCCAAATAACCAATCCCGCAAAATGGTCTTTATGTGTGTCTGTATGTATATCACAGGTCTAGCCCAAAATGAAAAGTCGTATGAGAGTAAAATTGAATACTTAAAGTTTGAATATACCTCAGATGTTACAGCAACCTTTTCCTCAAAATCAGCTGACCGGAAGTGGTACTTCATATCATTGATGAAGGCATTTTTACTATTTTTCAAAAACAGCTACAACGTTATATCAGTGTAAAATTAAGCAGTTTTTAATATTATGTAGGTTTTAATCTCATTGATGTTCTTAAACAGGGCTTAAATCGCTAATTTTCAATATTAGCGTCCTCTAAAGAACCTTTAATTTTTTATATTTGAAACAATTAAAAATTTCACATTAATCTATAATATAAAAAATAGTTAAATATAAAATAAGAAAGAAGTTGATTACTACTAAAGGAGAAATAAGAGATCGTAATAGAGAATAGTTGAAATGAAGGAACCAAAGGGATACGAGAGCGAGCTCGAGCTCGCCCGAAGATTAGAACAGGTATCATTAACATGAGCTTAATATAATACGGACTCGACAATATTATATATATGCGGTTTTCCTAAGTGTTTTTGTAGGTATTATTTAGTATTTAATTGTACATATTACAACAATATAAATATTAAAATTTGAAAATATAAGAGTACTAAAAATAAAAATATCCGCAATGAAATATAAATCAATATAGCGCTTATAATTTTTACTTTCACTTCCCCTTTGTCTGAAAATACTTATTTCTGTTAAGAGGGTGGTAAGTGAAAGATGTGTGGTACGCGCGCCACACCACATTTTTTAAAATTAAAAATTAGTAGAAAAATAATATTTTGAGTAGTTTGTTATAATTAATATACCAATAAATTTATATAAACATATTTATATTTTTAGGAGTAATTTTGTCATCCCAGGACAGTGTGCCAGTAGAAGAAAGTAGGAATTTCAATGGAATAAAGGCAAGCATAGGTGGAGGACTAATACCCACACCATCTCCTTCATCTACGCCAGCTCCCACTCGGCCAACAACGGATATGACAGAAATATACTGTGAGTTTTTCATTGATTTTTAAAATTTCATTTTACATTCCTGGAATATTTATTTATTTAAAGAAAAAAAATATTTGAGTAGACTTTTCCAAAATGAATCCTAATTGATTTTTTTTTTTTAATTTAGAAAGTATCTATCCATATATAAAAATAACCAATGAATCTGATGGATGAATTTTTTTTTCTCAATAATGTACTGAAATATTTAAAAAATTGGCATGTAAAAAGTTACTTTCTGAAACCAGCCTTTTTTATTTATTTATTTATTGTTTTGTTTTCAAGGAATGCAGTGATGTATTTATTAAATATTTAAAAAATAATAATTCATCAACAGCTTTTCTAATCATTCTATTCAAATAAAAATTAAAAATAAATCAATTTTATTGAACCATTATTGTAAAAAAAAATTAAATTTTTATAGTACAACTTTAATAACGTTCTCCTCTTCAAAGAATATACTATTTTTATCTTTCCAAACCATAACCCAATTAACCTTCCCCTTTCCAAAACTAGAGCCTTGAGGTTTAATTCATTTTATAAACCACTCAATTCAAGTTAAAATGTTTCATAATTTCTATAAAAATAATAAATGATTTTAAAAAATATGTGCTACAAATAAAGAATGTTTTAATATATATATTTTTTATATACTGGTTTTGATATTACAATTGAAGAAGAAAATATAATGTTTTTCCTGAATTCATGTTTACTAAAAAAATGTCAAAGATGATTAGGGTTCACTTTGGAAATAAAGGACTTATATGAAATGATCTATAGACACATTAATTTCCCATATTGAAAATAAATTTCTAAGATGAGTACGTCTTATTTTGTTTTCTTATTTTTATTTATTTATTTTTTATTCTTCATATTCTCTATTTAAATTTGTTGGCATTTTTGATAAACTCAGGTCTATTTTTTTTTTTTTATTAACTATAGAATACTTTTTTTTTTTTCTTACACCTGTTGACATAGACTTTTTAAATCACATGTCTCTTCAGCAGCTTGGGGCTCTTATAGGAGATAGTAGTGATTGTTTTGTTCTCTCTTCTTCGAGATATTCAGAGAGCACGTGGTTGGGCTAACCGGAGGCAATCACATTCACTCCCTCTTCATATCTAACTTTCCTGCTGGATGTTTGGCATGTTTCGCTTCAATCTTCCACCTAGTTTTTTTTATGGAATAGGGGATTATCAGCCTTATAACCAACCCCCAATCTGGAGGACCAGAAGCTATGGTTTAAGACATAGGGGGCTCGCTCATCTCCCTAAGAATCTTAGGGTGAGGACGTTACTGTTTCCATGCGTGAATCGAATCCGTGCTGTAGTGGTCTAAACAGTCGAGTAGGTGGCCTGCACTTAATTTTTTTAAATTTATTATTGTTTATTTTTTATTGTGTTATTAATTCCTGCTAATGGGATTTGAACACTTGATAGCAAATTTTACAGACGCCTTAACTCGCTCGACCACCATAGCCCCAACTATAGAATATGAACTGTTATTATTATTTTATTAGAAACTATCTTGATTATACATTTGCAAAATTAATCTTTGTTTAGATTGATGTGAAAATCTAATAAATAAATATATTTATTAACTACATGTGTATATAAACTTTTTTTTTTTTTTGTAGTGGATAAAGTATTACAAGGAGAACTGACAATTGATAACTTGGAATTTACCCCTGGACTCGCTGACCAAAACTCTTCGGAATTCAGAAACTTAGCTGCATCATTAGAAGAGGAGGTGATCATTTGTTTTCTATTTTTTATTTTTTTTATTTTCAGGTTTGAACACTGCTTATATTGAAATTGAATTTTAATATTTTATTTACTCAAAATGATGCACGCACCACATATTATGAATTATTAAAATACAATTCAAAAATACAACTATATTTACTAAAAGTGAATCTTTTTTTTTTTTTTTTTTTTAGTTGAAATCTGCTTTATTTGACCATCAAACCTTACATTATGGCTCAGCTGATATTACTGTGAAAGTTCTGGAGTTCAGGTGAGAACTTTTTATAATTTGAAAATATTAATTTCAATGACTTCCCATAACCCAGAAAATGCTAATATTTTTAGGAATATTAATTTAATATTTTTTTTTTATGCCTGGTTTTACAAGTGTTTTCAACTTGTAGACCTCCCTTAGTTATGAGAATATCGGTCAAACTTCCCGTCTGGACCAGGTGGAACTAGGGTATAGGAAATAGTAATTTATTATACTGATAAGTAAATATTTATCAATATGAGATATAATTTCATAAACATCAAATTTTTGCTGTTATTATAAACATGCATCTAATTTTTTTAAAAATAACATATAAAATATTATTGATAAGTTTTACTCTATAAAATATTGTCCTTACTTTCAACAATAACATTATTTCATTTGATAATTTAAAAAATATATGGAAATAATTTTTTATTTGCAAAGGAAAAATTAATACAAATTATATAGCATTTTAAAACCAGAATGACAGAATATGAACTGTGTAATAAAAAGTAATCATAGAAATAGATCAAAATTAAGACCAGGATAATTTATTTTTCTCCAATAATTTAAAATCTTAACGATGGAAATTTTCTAATTTAATTTATTTAATTAATCATATAATAATAATATTGTATTATTTTAGGTCTGGTAGTGTGATAGTGGTATACCGTGTTGGATGGGAATTCAAAGATGGCGTTAAAAACCCACCAGACCCAATTGACAAAGATGGCCTAAAAACCAAATTGCAAGAACATTTAAGATCACATGATGGCTTCTTGTATAACTACAGGCTTACCCTCCATAACCTGAAATCTGAGCGTAAGGGCAAATTATATGTATTTTGTATATTATTGTACTGTTTTTATTTATATTCTGCATAGACTCAAAAGCTCAGTACCATTATCATACCAGCAGCAATTGAATTATATTACACTTGTGTGAATGAAAAAATCATGTAATATGCTGCAAAGAATATCATTAAAAGATATGAGGTTGTTAATCAAACAAGTGTATGCAATTTTACATTTCTGCAGTTAAAAGCTAATTTAGGTTAAAAATTTAAATATTTGTTTTTTCTATAATAGTAAATTTATGTAGAATTATTTTTTTCTATTTTTTGTAGACAAACTTCATTTAATAGTATATACACTTGAAAACAAAAAATTGAATAGTAAATTTTATGAGAAACTATTTTTGTATATTTATTTGTTCTGATTAATCTTACATATTTTCAAAACCAGATAAATATTAGGTTATTTCTAAAAATATTCTGAAATATAAATATATTATTAAAAACTTCATTAATAAATTATATATGAGAAGGAGTTAATCGGGGAGGGGGAGGGAGGAGAGGCAGGCGGAAGGGGGGTGCGGTCAAATTAATATTAAATTAAGCAAGTAGAATTGTTTAGATGGCACCAAAAAAAAAAAAATTGTTTAACTTGTTCCAGAAGTGGAATAACGGCAGGTTTAGGTTATACAAATAACTTTTTTCTTAATAGTATTATTAGTATATTGAATACAAGAATAATGTTGACAAAAAATTATTATTATTATATTTTAATAAAACATTATAATTGTTTGTAAAATAATAGAAAATGCGTATGTAAGAATACGGAGTAAAAAAACATTGTTATGCTAATATGCGATTTGCAATGCGTGATATTGGGGAAAACAATCACTATGAATGTGTTTCTGGCATTCTTTGCATTGATATTTTGTGTTGGTGCTACAATGAAGACACCTTCCTTTGGAAGCCGAAATGATATAATGTCCACCTGCCATAGACCTACTAGGAGGAATGAAAGTCTTCAGATCTGTCAAAGGACCATCTTTCCGTGGTAAAGCCCACATTACATTAGATAATGCGGGCTTTATACCTAATTATTATAAAATATGAGTCATAAATGCGATGCATTCACGACAAGAACATGGTAATGACTGAGAAAACTTACACCAAAGGAAGTTTGATGTAGTATTTCAAATCATATGTGTTCTAAGAAAGCAGTTTTTCTCAATTGGTAAGGTATTACACACAAAAAAAAAAAAAAAAATCTTAAAATAGCAATTAGTAGTTCTATGAATTTCCTTGTTCAGTTTTGTACTATGAAAAGAAGGTAGGAAACAAGGAATAGAACGAACATTTCTATAATATTAGCTTTCCATTGTACCATATCTGGAACATTAAAATTAAAATCAGTAAAACTGATTCTTAGAATTTTTTTATTTACATTTTCTACTATGCATTATTTTCAGTAATCTATCACAATCAATTAAATCAATATTCAAATTAAATTTCATTGCTGTAGTATTAATACAAACAAAAACAATCAATAAACCCCTCAACAATAAAAAATCAGAAACTTAAACTTTTTCTTTACTGAACTTATAAAATCTTTATTGAAAAAAATATTTCAACCTTTATTTTTATGGAAAATTTGTTTTTGCAAAAAAATAATGATTAAGTTGGCCAAAAAAATTGTTTAACATCTGTTCCACTGCTGGAACAATGGCACGTAAAAGCTGTTTTATATTTGTATATTATTTTATTGCATTCAACAAATTTTCTAATACAATTGCTTTATTAGTCGGCTAAAACTAATTATTTTAATATGTTTTGTAACTTTTTTTTATTTCTTACAAATGGCAAAGGTCCCTGAAAATCGGCTGGCATGCCAGGGCAATTGCCCCAGTTGCCCCGCCCTAAAGCCGGCACTATACTATATTTTATTACTTACAACCATAATTGGATGTTAATTATTAAAACAAGTATACATTAATAAAAAAAACATCTTAAGTATAAAAAAGTATAATTTTAAATTATTTCAAACAAATTAGGTCCAACATTTTAAGACTCCTCTATCATAATAGCATAATATAAAGTTATTAATCAATTAAATTGCTTAGGTGTAACTGATGCTTGCAAGATTGAAAATGGAGGATGCAGTCAAAATTGTATGTTTGACAGAAGTAGTTTGCAGATCACATGTAAATGTGAAGATCCATATGTTCTACATAGTGATGGGAAAACATGCGTCAATCCAGGTAAGTTAAAATTACTAATGTAATAGGACAAGGAAATATAATGATTGTTATATATAAAATTTCATCTGACTAATGAATTTATTATCTTGATTCCAGAAAAAAGTGAATCAGATTCATCTGAAGAAGCTTCATTAAGTACTTCTGAACAGAAACATGAACACGGAGGTGAACATGAAGATGGAGAGAAACCTGCACAAGGAGATGAACATCATGAACATGTACCTGGAAATGGAGATGAACATCATGAACATGTACATGGTCATGGAGACGAACATGAACATAGTGGAAAACATGAACATATTGGTAAACATGAAAATGATGGGGAACATGATTGGGAACATGAACATGGTTGGGAACATGGACATGGATATGGAGTGGATAATGAAAGATCTACAGAAGTTTATAAGACTACTGAAGACCAGAAAAATGAGAACAGTGAAACAGATGAAGTTGAATTACCTGTTGTAACTGAGCACATTTCAGAACATGATTACCATGTCGAAACTGAACTGCCACCAGAACATGAAAATTTTGGGATAAAAGGCACTTCCATTGAAACTTATGTAACTCCTGTACCAGAACATAAACAGGATGATATCACAGGAGAAACTTCGATGCCTTCATCAGAACAAAACACCCAATACATGTATGAAAATACTAATTATCAACCTATGGAGGAATCTGAATACAAAAAGACTTCAGAGACTAATGGGGTTCAAGAATCGATGGTAGAAGCTAATGATTCTACAGAAGCATTTTCAAGAAAGAGTACTGGCTTTGTTGAAGAACAAACTACTGAACCTATCCCCAAAATGAAATCAACAGATGCATCAATGAATTTTGAATCTTCATCAGAATCAAAATTTTCATCTGAATTACCAACTTACCAGGGGCCAATGAACTTTAGTGAAGCATCAATGGAATCAGTACATTCCACTCCATTACATCCCTATGAGGAAATGAGTATTGATATATCTCCTGAAACCACTCCTATGCCACATTTTAATTTTGAATCAGAGGAAAATGCTGATCAACATCATCATTTAAAAGAATCCACAGAAGTCCCAGTAGAAAATACAAATCCTGGTGAGCCTTCATCAACCTCTCCTGCAACTTCATCAGAAAGACTTGCAAAATACAATCAGTTTACCATCGGAGGATCAGAAGGATCATCTTATGCACAAACCACTGAAAAAGATTTGATGCCAGAAACAACTGCAATGCCTAATGAATCAAGAGGAGAACAAAATACAATACCTGAATTAAACATTTACCAATCCTCAGAAAACTCAAATTATTTCCATTCTTCTTCTGAACATCCTATTAGTTATACTGAACTGCATGAAGATATCCCAACTGGGAAAATATATTCAGGCAATATTGAAATGAAATCATCTGAATTTATTACTGGTCAGAAAAATGAAAATACAATGACTACTTCGTCTTTATCTTTCACTGATACCAAGGAAGAAGAATATTCAACAGAAGTTGGTGTAACAACTAAAAAACCATTCAACATATTAGAAACAGGAGACCAATCAAGCAACATTTCTAGTGATCATGGCTATATTAGTTCAACAGGTCCAGTAGAGGATACAAAAATCAAACAGGAAATTACTACAATGATGCCTATAATTCAAAGTCAAGAAGACAATCAAAACAACTCGATGATGACTGACTCCACGTCTGTTCTAAATAGTTCACAATCCCCAAAAATATCTTCACCTGAAAGTAAAACTACGTACCCAGCTGATGAACTTACTACTCAGTCCTCACAAAATATTAACGATATGGGATCTCATAAAAATACACTGAATGAAGAAGAAATGATGCCAACAGAACGTACAAATAATGATTCTGTTACCAGTTCAGAAATCAATCCAACCTCTGAAAAGCCGAAAAGCCAACCAATGGACTTAATGACCATAGACGTTATGACCACAACACCAAGCTCACTAGAATCAGTGACTTTGATGCCAGATTCTTCATCATCACCAGAATCAATAGTTATCCACCCACTATATACAAGCTTAAATTCAAGCAACTCTAGCAATGTTGTCACAAATAATGAACCTGGTAAAGAATTAAATCAGGGAACAACAGAAATACCAATGGAAAGTGATGCTTTAATTACCTCTGCAATGAGTGAAACAGCAAATAACATGAATCTAGAAACAGAGAATAATCAACCGACCTCAGAACCTGCAAAGAGCTCAGTAGAGCAATCTGATGGTGCTCCTACAGACGGAGAATCCAAAATAGCTTCTGTAGAAGACTCTGATTCAACAGTTTCCACATTTTTAGTTGGAGGTGAAAACATGCCTCCAATAGCATTAACACCTAACCCAGATCTTTCAGGTCCTTACTCTGTAGATTCCACAATTCAGCCTATTCCAGAAGAAGAAGAAGATATAGAAGATGTAAAACCAGTTAACCCTCACGATTTTGGAGGTTCTACTGAAACTGAAGGACATCATCAATGGTATGATTCGAAAAATGCCCTCAATAGTTTAGATGATGATTACAATGAAGAAGAAAAGTATGCTAATTACAAACTGGCAAAAGGCAAACCTGAGCATGTTACAAAAGGATATAAAAATATAAAAATAGATGAAAAAAGTCGGCTTCCAGAGGATAGTGATGCTGTAGAACAGACTCACAGCCACCAAATTGAGCAAGTTCCTACTACTACAAGTGAAAGAAGTAACACAGAGACAAATGAAAGTTTAACAACTATACCATCACCTGAAGGCCCACCTTCCAAAATTAATGATGAAGAAAAATTATTAATTAAAGAAGTTTACACCGAAGCAACAAGTGCCACTACTGGACCAAACAATGAATCAGAAGGTTTAATTGAATCACAGCCACCAATACAAGATTTCAATGAGATGAGACCAGATGGATCTCATGAAGTGTCAATGGGTTCCATAAAATTGATGGATAATCACAATATAGACAATAATGATGGTTCAGTGCTAAAAGAAATGAACAATACTTCGACACAAAACATGTCACAAACTGATATAGATGAAAGAAATAATTATTACGCTGTTACAGAAAATATAGAACCTGCTGAAGTCAATCCAACAACTACTGGAAATTTACATTCGTTTGGTGGTTCAACATTAGAAGAAACTGTTCCAAGGACAACAATGCTCTATGAATCAGATAGTCCATCGAACAATAAAACAGAGTGTGATTCAGGTAAGATTATTTTGTCATTATGATACTGATACATTATTAACACAATAGTAATTTAAAAAAAATAATCGATTGTGAAAAATAATCTATCTTTAAAAAATAGATGTTGTGCGTTTGCTATAAAACTCTGTATTAGAGATACTTTCTAAAACTTCTATTACATATTAATTAAATAATATTTAATTTTAAATATAAATAAATGATATTTACTTTTATATTTGCCGACGTTTTGGCCCAAAGGTCAGGCCTTTATCAGGACTAAAAAAAGACCAAGTTCCTCATAAGTCATAAGTTCCTCTCCATTATCGTTATTAGTTTCTCTCTAATATTGTTATTAGTTATTTTATAAGTTCCTCTCTTTTACTGTTATTAATTTTTTTCATATATTCCTTACATTATTATTATTTTTTTTCATAAGTTAATAATTTCTCATACTGTTATCTGGTCTTTTCTTAGCCCTGATGAAGGCCTGAACTTTGGGCTGAAACATTGGCAAATGTAAAAGTAAATAACATTTATTTATTTTAAATTTCTTCATTTTTGATTGAATACCCCAGCCAACTTTTCTTTAATTATTCACTGTAATCAATCATCATACGACTAATATTTAATTCTAATTGATTAATTTTCATCTTAAACATTAGAACACTTTGCCTGCCGTGATGGGAGCAAATGCTTGATGAAGCTTCAACAGTGTGATAGCATGCAAGATTGTGCCGATGGATCGGATGAAGAAGAATGTGAAAAATTGAATTGTGTTGAAAACTTTAAGGTATTATTTTTGAAAAGATAATATTATTTATAGCTATTTCCAGATTAATCAAAATTGTAACTTCAAGCAGTTGAAAGTTTTATAATTGTTTTTCCTAATGTATTTTTAAATTAAAAATATCGTAATCATTTTCAAGTTCTTGAAATTTGAAAGTAATTTTTTTTCTTTCAATTTTAGTGCAATGATGGCACATGTCTCAGCAGACATTTAGTATGTAATGGAATTCAAAATTGCCCAGATGGAAATGATGAAGAAAATTGTGGTATGTATAACAACAGTATTTTATTTTTGATTGTTCAAAATATACTTAAGATGTATACTGATGCATTCATTCTAAAAATAATAAGCATTATTTGGTAGTTTCTTTAACTGCTTTATTAGTGCAGATACGGTAAAATTTGTAATGTATCAGTGTAAATATAAATAGAATCAAGGAAGAGAAAAAAAAACTAAGTTTAGCTTATATGAATAGTGATTTTATTCCTTATTACAAGCAAGTCACTGCACAACATAAGCCAATTAAGATCTGTTATTTAAAAATTGTTATGTACTAAAATTAGTTTTTTAAATAATATAATATGATTAAATTAGATTATCTTTTCACACCAGAATCCTGAAAAATAACATAGCAGTAACGGTGTAAAGACCAGAAAAATAAAATGAATTTTTTTTTAATTGTATGTTAAGTTTTGTATTCTGGATTAAAACAGGAAGAGAACTTTTCCCTTAGATTAATAGTATTTGGCAAAGAACAATGTTTATAAATAAATGTAATGTTATACTACTTTTATAAATATTATTCCTGATCTTATTAGGGATTAGTTTTCTTAAAAATCACTGTGTGTGAGTTAATTTTATTGAGAAGAATAAGATATAATTTATAGTTCACAAAGTATAAGGAAAGATTTTGAAAAAATAAGAATAAAATTCCACATTGAAATAAGAAAAATTAAAAATACAAATTCTATATCTCTACTATTATTAAACAATACACATTTTAATGATAATCTAATTTATCATAATTTATTTTTTTAAACATTTCTGACCATATTTTTTCCGATGTTATAGATTCTGAAAGGAAGAGTGAAAACAAGCTGTATATTACAGAACAACCAAAAGAAACTGAAACTAAAGCCACTGAGTCTCCTGTTGAGAAAATGGAATTAGGATCTACTGATTCAATGAGACATTCATCTAGTGGCAAAACAGATATTCCTGCAAATTTGATGGAGGCAACAAACATCGGAACAGAAGCTAATTTCATGAGTGAGGAAACCCATGAAGCAGAAACTGCATCCTTAAAACCAGTTATTAGTGGCACAGAATCTCCTATAAGTTCTATTGAACCGGTAATGAATGAGAAAACACCAGATTCTAGGTCTATGGAATTTGTTGGAGGAGAAACAGTAACATTAGGTGTTCCCATGGAGACAATGATGAATAGTAAAGTCCCAGAACATACAGAGTCACCTCTAAGTTCTACAGAGGGTACTATGGATAAAGAAGCAGCAATGAGTCCAATGGAATCAGAAAGTTTAAGGCCAGATCCACTACAGAAGTTAACTGATCCACACATAAAAATCAATGAAACATCTGTTCCTTCCATTGAAACTGTCAGTAGCGAGGCACCAGATCTAAGTTCCATCATGGAATTAGACCCAAGTGACCAAGAAACATCTTTAAGCCCCATGGAGAGGGACAAAGAAACATCTTTAAGTTCAACGGAATTAGAAAATAGTGGCACAGAACTTCCAGCAATGTTGATGGAGACAGAAATGAGATCTAATGAATCACCTGTTACTTCCAAGGAGCCTGAGATGGACAACACAGAAAAACCTTTAAGCTCTATGGACTCCATTGTAGGAGGTAGAGAAGCTCTTTCTAATTTCATGGAGCCAGTAAATAATGTTACAGAAGCACCAGTGAATTCTATGGAGACTAATATGAGTCATAATGAAATGCCTGTTACCACTATGGTTCCAACAGTAAGAAACACAAATGTGCCTTCTGAGGATGCTAGTGACAAAATTATGACTACTCTAATGCCTGCTGTGGAGGAGGTATCACAAAGTTCGAGTGAAATGATTTCCAATATGGGAAGTGTGATGAGCAGTACTGAGCTTTCAACTAAATCACTAGGAAATATAGAAAGTAGTTCAGCCGAGCCTTCAACAGTCAACACTACACAACCTTCATCAAACAATTCAACTGAAAGTCAAGCTGATGGTAGTTCAGAAATTTCATCTAGCCAAATCACAGTTTCTAGCACTGAACCTTCTCCTACAATAATGGAATCGTCAACTAGTCATTCAGAAAATTCTTCAAAAATAACTGAATCTGCATCCCTGCCCACTGATTACATGTCAAGTTCAAAAGAGCCTGAAATTAACTCCACTGAGCTTCCTTCTGACCTAATGGAACAGTTTCCAATTCAAACAGCTCTCAGTTAAGTTCATCAATTATGATAAAAAAAATTAAAATGAAGTAATCAGCAGTCATTCCACACCTATGTCATTCAACATTTAAAGAAAGACTGCATTAACTACTTGTGAATAATTGTGTATTTAATTTTGATATTAGTTGTTACCTTAAGTTTGTTTTCTGTACCATAATTAATCTTTTTGTTGTATTGTATTGTTCAGTGCCTGACTATTATAAATATAAATTTGTATATATGTACGAATGTGACGTGTGTTACCTTAAGTCAGGAGTTTGTTCCTATGTGAAACATTTTGCCTGCATAAACTGATCAGTTATTAAATGTTAAATAATAGTGATGAAAGGATGAGTAAATATTTGTAAATATGTGTGATTGTGTATGAGAAAGACTCATTATTATTTGTGATAGACTACGATAGTGTATATTACAATTAATTGTATTTATATAAATAATATAGATTCAAAATTATTTATCATCACATAAAAATTTAAAATGTTAATATTTTGTTGTTTATTATTATATTTTTTTTTTGTTAATTTTTCATAGTTGAAACAAAAACATATTTCATAAAGCAGACATTATGGTAATTTTTTGTTAGGTATTGTTAATTTAGTAAAAATAATTTTTGAGACCTATACAAGCAATATGTATAAAAAAATATATTTGTCAAAAAGATGTTGATTGTATTAAGGAAAAGTTAATTTCATGTGTTTTATCAGTCATTGATTTTGTCGTTCAGATTGAAATGTATTGTATTAGAGGCTGTCATTAGATGCTCAACTTATTCGCTTAGTGTAAATGAAATTTATTTTTCCAATACAGAGAATTGTAAATTATTTTCAACAATGACTATTTTTATAAAAATGTTTTGTAAAATTAAAAATTCCATATTTAGATATTCAATATACTGTTTTAGAAATTGAGATATAGTTTTTATTCTTAAAACTTTTTTTTTTCATGGGTGATAAATAGGCAGGATGCAGTCATTTTAAAGATGTTTTTATTGGTGAAGATGTTTCAACCCAAGCATGTGTACTTCAGTATTTGAACACCTTCAGTGCTCGAAATACACCTTGATGATGACCCACACGCTTGGTTTGAAACGTCAGCACCAATAAAAAACCTGAAAAATGGCTGTATCCTGACTATTTATCACCCGTGATATGTAGAACAGTTGAATAACTTCCTTCAATAGATTTTTTTTTTTATTTTCTCTTTAATCCAAATGCACCATGATTTACCAATTCCAAATTAATTTATAATGAATAATTGTTTAGTTTTTAAGTAAAAATCTCACAAAAAGAAGAAGACAAAATTAAGATTGCATAACGATAAGTTGAGGCAATAGGGGGATACACTTTAAAAGCAATTAGTTGAAAAAAATACAAAAACTAATATTGAACTTTTGATAAAATATCTAGTTTCCTACATTAAACAATTATAATATTACAATCAGCTAGATGAAGCTCTAGAGAATGAAATCAGTTGTGAAAGAGAATAAACTACGAAGATAGATGTATTTTTATTGGCAACATTTGCATACCCCATACAAAGTTGCTGATACCCGTTTTGTCCAAAGGCTTGCTAGGCATGAGAATGTTAAAACAGGCAACACTCCAACACTCTTGGCCATCACGACCAATAAACATACTATTATCGTTGTAGTGGTTTTTTTTTTGTTGCAAATGATATTATTATAGCACAACTATAATACATAGTATGTCTATTGATCACACCCCTGACCATCTTCTTAAATAAATGATATTTTTTTATAGCTTTACTTATTTTCATAGTAAACCCAATAAATGTTTATGGACATTGAGATAAGTATTCATTACCATGTAAAAATTGGCAATGAATCCGATGTTACAATTATTTTTTATCAAGATCTTGAACCTCCACACCTGGTGGTAACTTAGAGAAAGAAGAAGAAAATCAAGATCTTCTGGATATATTTAAACACTTGTTAAAAATAAAACTAATAGTCCCAAAATAATAAAAATATTTTCATTTCATTTCACACTGGACCAAAAACAGCCAACTAATTAGTCCAATTAATTATGCCAAAATTGACTGATTTAGATGACAGACAGTTATTTGGTAATAATGATATAGTAATACATATGACACAATAAAGGATAGGAAGAATAATTGAGCTAAGTAAAAATATTACAAAGCTTTCTTTGGGAATAAGCGACTAAAATTTCTCTTCATTCATTCATTAATATGAATAATTGATACCATTTTGGCGTAGCATTACTCCCTCTCTTTAGGTAAGGTTATTAAAATAATAATTCAGATATTCATCATGTTATTAAATATAAGTTAAATCATTACACTTGGTTAATCTATTGTAAATATCGTCTAATTCTTAAACCTGGAATGGAACTGTCATTTTCCAAAAACACAATAGGAACAGAGGAGTCGTTAGGGTTAACTTATTACATCCCAATTAGTTAAAACTTGATAAAACATTTTAATCAAAACTAAATTCTATATTTAATTTTTAATTATACTTTAACAGCGTATGAAAAGGGAAAATAAACAAATAAAAATGAATTAAAACAAACAAATTTATTTTGGACAAAAATTCTGAAAAAAATTAATGAAAAACATACAGGTTTTCTAAAGCTCTAGTAAAATTTTAAAAAAGCACACCTTACATACCCTTCTCTTAAATTTGTAGTTCATTCCACAGAGGAGGGAGAACTAAATTCCCCAAAATACTAATTAAAATTGAAACCAAAAGCAACTTTAAAGATTGAAGTAGTTTGCAAATATTTTTATGTTCTTCATGTGACCAAATCAGCCACAAATAATTAATGAATTCCATGCGCCTCTTTTCAGAAGGAATATATTTTGCTTACTTCAATACATTTCTACCAGTTATTTGATTCAGGTTTTCTTATCTTGCCCATTAATTTTGATCACATGCTATTGCCGTTAACCAATATATTAATCTGGAGTTTAAAGAACTACATCTTCTGGTAAAATTTTATAAACCTCTTGTAACTGAAGCATCCTCATCTTCTTAGCTTTAAGCTTCTTTACCGAGTTGTTCATCTTATTCCAATTTACCAAAAAGGTGATTTCCTCAGGTTCAAATTTTTCTTTTGACTAGTTATCTCAATACGACTGAATTAAAAAAAGTACAAAAAACATGATAAGAGATGAGTCTCAGAATCACATAAAACTTAAATAATAACAACACAGGGAGTGTACAATATTCTAAATCACATTCTCACCCTTCTACTTTCAAATCTAAATAATAACCACAAGAATAACTCAAAATAATAATAAAGGATATATAGAAGTGTGTTAAGAGTGGAGGGAAGATTGGTTTTGGTTCCTAGTAAAAAATCCACATATCAAATAAGTGCAATTAGGGTATGTCACAACCCACAAAGACATTTAAGGGTTACTATTATGTTAAAATAAAAAATTTATTTACAAAGTTGTGCCCCAGAACTTTATTGTCACACACATTTTTTGATAAAATTAATCTGATCATTGAAAAAAGGCAGAGTTTACCTTGACAGGTCAAAATGAATAGTAATGAGTATTGATATAAAAGAGTGAATGAAGAAGAATTTTAGTCACTTATCCCCAAATAAATGAATAAATACTCTTCCAGTAACACACAACCTAAAAAATATTACAAACCTGATTTATGACTGGAAATCGAGAACAGCGGCTTAGACTGCAGTGACAGGAACAAAAGGTTTGATCAACCCAATTCTAGGTTGTGGTCCTATTAAAATAAAATAATAATATTTTAGGTAGAACTTTAATAAAAAATACTGATTAGATAAAAGTTTAATATATATAAAATATATTACAAGAAATGGGTGAAAAATATTCAGGACGCAGTCATTATAAGGTTTTTATTAGTGCCGACGTTCCAAACCAAACATGAGGGTCATCATCAGGGCGTGGTTCGATCACTGAAGATACTGAAGTACTTGAATGAGTACTAATATCTTAAAATAATAATAACGTCGGCACTAATAAAAACCTTATAATGACTGCGTCCTGAATATTTATCACTCATGATATGTACAACAGTTGACTAACTTCCTTCAATAATACGAGATAGAAACATTAAAATGATTAAGTATTTTAAAGGAGATATATTGAAGCTTGAATGAAATGGAAATTAATTTTTATTCTAGAACATCTAGAAACATCAATTCGGATTTCGTTCCCAACATTCCACTGTCCAACAAGGACTTTGAGTTGTCTACCATATATCCTCAGCCCTAGAAAATAAGCAATACTGTTTGGGTGCATTTCTGGACATAGCACAGGCTACAGGACATAGCACTCCAATCTTTCCTCTCTGACCACTCCTTTCAAGTTCGCTCTGGTAGAAACATTGGTTTGGTTTATAAAATGCAATATTATGTAAACTAAATGAAAAATTTATGCACATAAATGCTCTAACACACATCAACTTTATTTTTTTATATGTCAAGAAAATTAATAATTCAAGAGACAAAGAAATGATTGGTGTTTAAATGAGACTAGAGATGAGGTTTAATGATGGGTAAGCATGAATGACAAAGTAATGTTTATATAGAACAGTTCTTTGAGAAGGGAAAGACACCCATAAGGGGTGGATTCAGGTATTTAAATTAAGGACAGAGAAACACATTGTGAACAAATTAAGAATGCATGGCAGATTTTTTATTCGAAAGAAATTAGGAAGATATATGTCCTTCAGTGTTAGATTTTCTAGATGTTTCAATTTATATTCCAGAGTTTTAAATCAACTACAATACAGCTATAAAGGAAGTTCTATAAAACTTGTTTTCCAGCATATGAATCTGGCAAGAAGCGAGAATTCGAATGTGAGGAAGTGAGGTACTTGAAATATTGAGTAAATTCTGAATACTGACTGTAAGAAAGTAAGTGTTGTCCTAACTACCCATCGCAACAAGTCTAAATAGGCAGTTTTCAATTATAGCTCAATTACAGCAACCAATAGCAGATTCTAGAACAAAAGTGATGAAAGACACTGATACAACTATAAATCTAAAGATTCTTAATTATTTGACAGTTTTCCAAGATAAAACTGATGATGACAATATTATAAATTACAAAAATGCTACACTCAAGTTTGGACAAGATAACTTTCTGGGAATAGTTTTAGTGCAAACAATAAATTTACTCAAATGCTCTATAATTATTAATATACATCAATTAAACACATTTTAAACATAGAGTTTTCATACTGTTTAAATTTTGTTTACATATTAATTACTTTAAAGTCAGTCATATTAATTACATAAGACTACTATCAAAGACTACTACCCCCAAAATACAGATAATTAGTTTAATGCAAACAATTCTATTATTAATGTACATTTTATCATTGTTTAATAATTTTCATTTTTCATATTTTATTGTTGAAGAGGAGGTTTACAGTTAACAGTTTCTAAAAGTGTGTTTAGACATATACATCAAAAGATATTTATTTGCCTAAAAATTTTCAATAAATTGTTTAAATTCATATAACGTTTGACAATTCTTTCAAAATTGATTAAAAAACTTGTTGAAGAATGACCAGTAACTCATACATGGTTATAATTTAGACAGATTGAAATATACAAAATGCTTAGAAACAAATTTTGTTAGCAGTGTTTGGTCATTTAAAAAAAGAAATTATACATATCTTGTATTCAATATACTGATGAAAAAGGGTCTAATAATCTAGCAATTTATCCCTCTAAAACCTATACCCTACCTACCTACTGATGAAAAAATTAAAAGTTTGTACATTATATTTCAAATTACCTGACTGATTTCATCGGATAATATAATTCCTAAATGGCAGTTTAACTTTTTGATAATCACTTTTCACTCAGTTTAGAAAAAATAAAATAACGGTTTTCGAAAAAGGTTTTTAAATCAAAAGAACCTATATTATTTAAAATAAACAAAATATAAGTTTTATAAGACAGTATTCTAAAGAAGATACACC